TTTGCTTGTGATTAAGGTGTGTAGCGCGGGTCTATTTCAGTTTTAACCACTTGTGTGCGGGGTCCCCTCTAAGCTGAAATTTTTAACCACACCCTGCAAAATACAGTGTACTTAGCAAATGCTGCAGCTTCTGAGAATGTGGGTGGAGCGGGTTTATTACTAAGAGCAGAGACGTTACCGAGAACAAATTCTGGCTTGAATGTCATGTACACTAATACCGACACGTTCCTTGATAAGAGGGAGGAGTTTGAAACACTACTAAGAGTACACCAACCAGATATTGTAGGAGTTGTAGAACTGTTGTACAAGAACAGGAGAATCGACCCAGAGGAATGTGAGTTCAGTATTGCTGGATATGACTCATTTACGAACCTAACTCAAGAATCCTGCAGGAGGGGTGTGGTTATCTACGCTAGGCAAGACCTTAGAGCCAGCCAGGCGAGGGTACAGGGAGAGGATGTCTTTGAAGAGTCCAAGTGGTGTAAAATTAAATTAAAGGGAGGGGACTTACTTATCGTCGGGTGTATCTACAGATCCCCGAACTGTGGCCCACTAAATCAAAGGAACTTAAGAACCTTAATAAACAATGCGGCGATGCTCAACCCCAGCCACCTCCTTATCATGGGGGACTTTAACTATGGCGACATCGACTGGAGAAACGAGTCAACCCCGAATGACTTGAATAATCCTGCTACTCTTTTTGTAGAAACTCTGAGAGATAATTTTCTGTTCCAACATGTGAGAGACCCGACACATTACAGAGGGGAGCAAACACCCAAGCCACTTGACCTCATCATAACAAACGAGGAGGGTATGGTGGCCAAACTGGAACACCTTGCCCCAGTTGGCACCAGTCACCATACAGTGTTGTCATTCAGATTTAACTGTTACCTAGTTCAAGATAAGGCCAGGCCAAGGTGCAAATATTACAAGGGAAATTACAATGGGATGAGGGAAGAGATGAGGGGTATCAACTGGCCTGACTTATTAAGGTACAAGAACGCAGACACTACGCTGAATATCATAACTAGTAAAATGACCCATTTGATCGATAAATATATACCCAAGACCAAACCCAGTGCTTCTAGGAATACGAGGGGATCCCTACACATGAACCATGCGGCGGTCGACAAAATTAAGAAGAAAACCCAGAAATTCAAGACGTGGGTTGGGTCAAACGATGAGCAAGACAGGAGGATGTATGCAAGAGCCAGAAACCAAGCAAAGATAGAGTGTAGGAGGGCTGAAAAGGAGTTCCAAAGGCTGGTTGCACGCGAGGTCAAGTCAAACCCAAAGGCGTTTTACCGCTATGCAAAGTCGAAATTGAAAACGCGAGTAGGAGTATCAGACCTGAGGCTTGAAGATGGTAGTTACGCAGATTCTGACCAGGATAAAGCTGAGGCATTGAACAGCTTCTTTTCCTCAGTGTTCACAAGAGAGGATGCAACTAACCTTCCTGCGTTTGAGGACAGACGGTTCGACACAGCACTGACCCACATTGTGTTCACAGAAGAGGGTATTAGAAATAAACTGTCCAGGCTAAAGGTCCATAAGAGTCCTGGACCTGACATGGTGCATCCTAGAGTGCTAAGGGAGCTGTGCAACGAGCTTGCAGAGCCCCTGAAGATTCTGTTTTGTAAATGCCTGGATGAACAAATGGTCCCCAGTGAATGGAAAGTGGCTTATGTGAGTCCTATCTTCAAGAAGGGCGATAGTCACTCCACGAACAACTATAGACCGGTGAGCCTGACCAGCATAATATGTAAAGTACTTGAGAGTATTATCAGAGATGCAGCGATGGAACATCTACTACGAAACAACCTTGTAAAAGATTGCCAACACGGTTTTATGCCGGGGCGCTCTTGCTTGACACAATTGCTCAAGGTATTGGATATTTGGACCCATATTCTAGAACGGGGTGGTAATATCGACAATATTTACCTAGATTTTGCCAAGGCTTTCGACAGTGTACCCCACGAAAGGCTGAAAATCAAACTGGAAGGGTACGGAATTCGGGGAAATGTCCTAGCGTGGATAGAAGACTTTCTACATGACCGCAAGCAATGTGTGGTGATTAATGGCACGAAATCGTCATCTGTACCTGTAACAAGTGGGGTACCGCAGGGTAGTGTATTGGGCCCGCTGTTGTTTGTTTGTTTCATAAATGATATGCCTGACGTTGTACACTCCTCCATACAAATGTTTGCCGATGACGCCAAGTTATTTCGGGAAATTAAGAACCAAGCGGACTGTGAAGAGCTGCAGAAGGACCTCTGTGGGCTCCAGGAATGGTCGAAGGAATGGCTGCTGAGATTCAATGTCACGAAGTGTAAGAGGATGCACCTGGGGCGTACCAACGGTAAGGAGGCGTACCATATGTCCCAACGGGATGAAGAAAATGTACTAGTTGAGACTGTGTGTGAGAAGGACCTAGGTGTGTATGTTGACAATGAGCTGAAGTTCTCGGGCCATTGTGAGAAGAAGGTAAATCAGGCAAATAAATTATTGGGTCTTATAAGAAGGTCGTTCAGATATCTAGACGGTCCGTCCCTCGTGACGATCTTCAGGAGTGAAGTGCTTCCCCATCTGGAGTACTGTCACCCCATCTGGTCCCCGAGATATGCTAGGGACTGTCAGTTGGTTGAAAATGTTCAAAGGAGGGCCACCAAGCTGGTGCCTGCACTTCGGCATCTCAGCTACCCTGCGAGATTGGAGCGCCTGAACTTGCCTAGCTTATACTACAGACGGGCAAGGGGGGACCTAGTTGAGGTTTATAAGCATCTCAGGGGGCACTACTCAGTTGAGTGTCCTTACTTGGAGCTGGCGGACGCTCGCCCCACAAGGGGTCATAGCTCAAGATTGAAGAAGCCGCAAGTCCGGAAAACCGTGAGGGCAAACTTTTTCGGAGTGAGGGTTGTAAACTCTTGGAACAATCTACCAGAAAGTGTTGTGACGGCACCGAGTGTGAGCTCTTTCAAGAGAAGACTTGACCAACACTGGAGCGGGTTCAGGTACATTCAGGAGCCGGTGCATGCCCAGTATTTGCCAACAGTGCGTGACAGAGACGTGACCGATCGCCCGGGCGGCTAGCGAGCCGACCTTTTGGTGAAGAATATAAAGGAAAAGAGTCGTGACCGATCGCCCAAGCGGCTAACAAGCCGATCAGTGGCGAAGAGGATAAAAGTAAAAGAATAAAATCGTCTGGCGTCCCTGTAGTGATGGGGTTAATGCTCGCAAAGCATAAGTTCAAAACATCTAATAGTTTTATCACAATAACCGAATGATGGTAATTATTAATGAGTACACAAGACATAGTTCCTGGAGACGTTAAGTGTGTTTTTTAAGGCAGATTAAGAGGTTTTCGGGTTAGGTTTTGTAAAAGACCGAAAAGGGTGTAGTCTGGCTAGCAGGTATGTAGCATGTACACACAGGCGTAGAACTGGGCGGTAGTGTAGATAATGTTACGTTGTTGTGGAGTCAGAGGAGGTAGATTCATCTCAGACCACTACTGGAAACCCCTCCCCGTAAAGAACTAATGGAGAACAACCACGCAGAAAACTAATGCAAGACACCATCGTAGAGTGTTAATGTAGAACTATTGGAGAACGCTCCTGTAGCGACCAAATGGAGAACAAGCTCGAAGAAAACCCATGGAGAAAATTCCTGTAGAAAACTAAAGCATATATCCCTGTAGAGAATTATTGCAGAACACCTCTGTAGAAGACTGATTGAAAAACAGCCTCGTGGAGAATTACTTATTCCCTTAAAAAAAAACAGCTAAATAGAACCGTTGTAGAGAACTGTTAAATAACAACTTGGGAAAGATTTAGCAGAGAAAAAACACTGAAAAGCACCTTAACAGAGAACAAAACAACAAACGCTGTGGACACCTCCCACTGCTTCATCTCCGCCTCCCGTGTTTCACAGTCCATCACATTTTAGGCGTAAAGCAAAATAAACAGCAAAACCCACTATATGGTTAAGTGACATATCCGGTTGGTGGTGTTGATAGTAAGGACGGAGGTATAAGTGTGGTGATACTTATGACACACTTGGCGTTAATAGTGAAGGTGAGTGAAGTTACTGAGATGACAAGTTGGAGACAGGTGGATGGCACAGCTCATTGGCAGGTAAAGTGTTAAACTGTGACAGGTAAAACTTCTTGCTTGTGGGAGGTTGTCATCTAAAGGTGGTGTAGGTAGGGTGAAAGGTGAAGTGGAAAGCAGTGTAACCGGGTGTTGGTTACGGTGTGTAGCAGACGAGGCGCCATGCTCCTTGTTGGAGTCGTGTACCTGTGTGTAGCATAACGCTCATCTGTGAGGTAACCGAGTAACCCAATACACATACACGCTACTTCCTTTTATATGAACAACAAACACAAAAAATCCCCAACAAAGAAACATATGTACAATACAAACTAAACATATTAAAACAAAAAAATATATACACAAATGATACACCAAACTGTCATTATCTACAGTAACTCTCAGGTGACGTGCTGGTCATGGCGGGTCACGACAGGGTGTCATCCCACTTGAACGATCGTCTGTTTTATGCAATTTTTACTTTCTTAGTTAAATGATCAGGTTAGGTTAGGTTAGGTTAGGTGACGTTACCTTATGTTACGTTAAGCTAAATAACATAAAACAGACGATCGTCCAAGTGGAATGCAATCCACACACAGACACACAGCCTTCCGGCTGCCATGCTCTTTCAATAAACCGTTAATTATTATTATTATTATTATTATTATTATTATCATTATTACACACACACACACACACACACACACACACACACACACACACACACACGAGTCCTTTATTGTGACGTCACTAGAAGTGGTCCAGCACAAGAGACTAACGAATATGTAAGATATTGACTTATTACCTCAAAGTTAGAGAGTGAGGTCACAACTGTGGCGGGGCAATGAACCAGCATTTCACTGAAAGCAACAAGCAGAACTGATAAGATGATGCGGAACAAGAAGTCACACTTACTGTGCGTTCAGTTTCTTGGGGTGTAGAAGTCACAGATTCTTCTCAAATAAATTTCTTTCTTTCAATGTTGTTCCATGGTTCCTTAACTTGGTGTTTTATAATACTTTATTTTTTGATAAATAACTCAAGATACTAAGGCTCTGTCGTGGTTCGGACACACAGTTATATTTAGTCAGTACAAAAAAAAAAAAAAACTAACGGTCTGTCAACATAAGCACGAGGGGAATCGAGTGTGAGGACGTGAAGCGTGTGGGGTGACCTGACTCAGCCGCGGCAGATACACAACTGGGCTGGGGTCTGGGGTGTTGTGGCAGCCCTGCCGCCCGCCAACCACCCTTACAGCGCAGGGGCGAAGGGAGAGCAGGTTCACTCACACTGGGGATGTCATGTATGGGCAGCGGAACAAACACGTGCACGATCTATAAACGTTCCTGGTGGGTATAAACAATGGTGTATTCTTTTTTTGTGAAGGAGTCTATTTTTTTTCTTTTTTTATATACTGTATAGGGGCCCATGGGTCAACATTTTCAGCAAATCTATAAAAATACAGTAATATTTTACATATAATTAAACACCATGCTTCAACATAGATTCCTTGTTTCATTTATACAATTGTATACTTTCTGAATAAACCTTCAAATTTTGTGGATTTGTAAATCATATGGTACCGATATGTGAGTGGATATTCCCCAACCTGGATGTCCAGTATATTACAGTATAACTAAAAAATGAGCGAGGAGAAAGTCAAATAAGAACTATGAACATAAGGGCATGGCATGACAGCAGGAAGTATGTGTGTTTATTGCAGAGGGAAATTTTGGGTATTAAGTGAAGTAAGATGGACAAGTTCAAATAGTAGTAACAGAAGGCTCATGTTGGTGGGTTTTTTTTAAGGTAGAAGTTGGATAGTTGCGCCGTAAAGGGATAGAGGGCAGTGTTAAACTAAGTTCTGGCAATAATTCAAGTTCAAATATCATTATAGCTTTATGAGACTGAGTTCTTAGAAGTTTTACGAAGATTTAAAGATACGAATGAAAACTGTCAAGTTCAATGGATGTATGTTTATATTTGGTGATTTTAATGTAAAGGAAAGGAAGGGAAAAGCAGCACCAGAAGTGGGATTATAAGAAAATACGATTAAAGAGCACTGCAGTACGTCTATGGGCTCAAGCCAATATTCACGTGTGTATCTAACAAACCCACGAGCATCCTGTCAGTTTCCCAGATTAATAATTATATTATTTAACAACTTTTCTACTCATCTACAGTTCTCTTTCCGGACCATATAGTGCGTATTTGATGTATGTATTACAGGTTACTAACGATCTTGGGGTGTACTGTCATATTTAGGTAATGCTTGGAGATGGGTGTCGACCAGTGCAAGATGTCACCGCTGCCTCCCAGCTGTTCATCACAAACCCAGTTATTGACGCGCGAGCAAACCTGCGATGCCGTAGCAAAAGCAGCCCAGTAGCTTCGGGGTGACCCACCACGACCAGCTTCAAGGACACCCTTCGCCTTCCTTGCAATGCACATGGCAGAGTGACACTAAAGTTGACCGCGGCATTATGCTCTTGATGATAGAGCAGCGTTTCAGGACACTACCCGAGTGGTGTCCCACTCGCCTCAGTCATATTTAACCCTTTAGAAGCAAAGTATCACTTCGGTATTTTATTCTGACTAACGCCAGACGATTTTATTCAGCTGAGGGGAGCCCCTGCCCTCTAAAGGGTTAAAGCAAGTTTTACGGCTGGATGCATTTCCTTTCGCCAACCCACTTTTACAAACTGGGAGCTAGGCATTATATGTTGGGCTTCAAAGCTCCCTTTTAGCTGGTAAGGAAGGGTAGCAACTCCCTTACAGCTACAGAAATATTGTTGACATAAAGTTGATAAACTAATTCATGACAAGAAACTTTGTGAGAGAAGGCCTACTGTATAACAGAAAAGTACCAAATTATTTAAGGCAATAATTCTTCATCTTAGCAAAGTAACACCAGTTTTGATAACAAACATAAAACTGGTATTCATTAGCATCACAAGTTTAATAATGAATTGAGCACTCAGAAGATATGTTCGTATAAAACGACAATTACACGAAAATATTAGCCTTTATGTAGGTAAAATATTGATTTGTCGTAAAAAAATAATTTAATCAATTCACTAGCTGTGTTTCAATTAGGCCACGAGCCAGTACTTCTTAAACTGGGGGGTGGGCAAGGCGCCAATGGAAAGTTTCATTCTGTATCAAAGGATGACTTTAAAAATCTTGCCTTGCGGGAGTTTTGGCCCTTTTGGGTGAAATACGTAACAGTGTAACACAAAGTACACCAGTGATGCCCTTTAAGTCACAGTTCCCTTTTCATTGACGCATTTGTGTGAGGAAAGATTTTCAGCGAACTAAGCTTGATGTGGAGAGCAGTCTTCGATGTGCACCCTGCCAGACACCACGAAATATAGCAAGACTTGTGGGTGAAAGAGCCAGTACCAGCCATCTCATTAAAAAATTAATTGCTTGTGATACCTGACATGTTTTAGCTTTGTTTTGCACCACCGCTCATCACACACTATCATACATCACCAAGGAAGTGAGGGGTGGTGAGGAGGTAAGTGAAGTGTGGTGGGGAGGGAAGTGAAGTGTGGTGAGGAGGGAAGTAAAGTGTGGTGGGGAGGGAAGTGAAGTGTGGGGGGGGGAAGTGAAGTGTGGTGAGGTGAGGTGGTGAGGAAAAGCAGGTGGGAGGGAAGTGGGGGTGTGGTGAGGAGAGGAAGTGAAGGGTGAAGAGGAGGTGAAAGTGGTGGGTGAGGAGGAGAAGTGGGGGTGGGTGGGAGGAGGGAGGTGGAGGTGTGGTGGGGGGTGAAGTGTGGTGGGAGGAGTGAAGTGTGGTGGGGAGGAAGAAGTGGGGGTGTGGGGAGGGAGAGGAGTGAAGTGTGGTGAGGAGGAAGAAGTAGTGGGGAGGGAAGTGAAGTGTGGTGGGGAGGGAAGTGAAGGTGGTGAGGAGGAAGTAAGTGTAGGTGGAGTGGGGAGGAAGTGAGGTGAGTGGTGGGAGAGTGGGGAGTGTGGTGAGGAGGGAAGAGGGAAGGGTGTGGTGGAGGGTGGGAGGTGTGGTGAGGAGGTGACGTGAGGGGGAGGGAGGTGGGAGTGTGGAGGGAAGTGAAGTGTGGTGGGGGAAGTGGGGTGTGGTGGGGAGGGAGGTGGTGTGGTGAGGAGGAGTAAAGTGTGGTGAGGGAGGGAGTGGGGTGTGGGTGAGGAGGGAGGAGTGAAGTGTGGTGGGGAGGAGAAGTGTGGTGAGGAGGGAGAAGGTGGTGGGGGGGAAGGAAGTGTGGTGGGGAGGAAGGAGGTAGGGGAGGGGTGGTGTGGTGGGAGGAAGGAAGGTGGTGGGGAGGGAAGGTGTGGTGGGGAGGAGTGAGGAAGGTGAAAGTGGTGGGGGAGGGAGGCAGGGGGTGGTGGGAGGGTGAGGGAAGTGAAGGGTGGTGGGGAGGGAAGGAGGGGGTGGGAGGGAAGTGAGGGTGATGAGGAGAGAAGGGTGGTGGAGGGAAGTGAAGAGTGGTGGGAAGGAAGTGAGGGGTGGTGGGGAGGGAAGTGAAAGTGGTGGGAGGGAGAGGTGTGATGGAGGAGGGAGTGAGGTGTGATGAGGAGGGAGTGGGGGTGGTGAGGAGGGAGGTGGAGGTGGTGAGGATGGAAGTGGAAGTGTGGTGGGGAGGGAGTGAAAGAGTGGTGGGGAGGAAGGTGGGGGGGGAGGGAAGTGAAGGGTGGTGAAGGGAGGAGAAGTGAGGGGTGGTGGGAGGGAAGTGAGGGGGTGGGAGGAAGTGAGGGGGGGTGGGGGGAGGGTGGTGGGAGTGAAGGATGGTGGGGAGGGGAAGGGAAGTGGGAGGGAAGTCAGGGGTGGTGGGGGGAAGTGAAGGGTGGTGGGGAGGAAAGTGAAGTGTGGTGGGGGAGGCAAGTGAAGGGTGGTGTGGAGGGAAGTGAGGGGTGGTGGGGAGGGAAGTGAGGGATGGTGGGGAGGGAAGTGAGGGATGGTGGGGAGGGAAGTGAGGGATGGTGGGGAGGGAATTGAAGGGTGGTGGGGAGGGAAGTGAAGAGTAGCCTGAAAAAAATCAATATTGGTAAGGAGGTGCAATATCCCATTTTTATGATTCGGTCGGGGCACAGGTCATAATCTGGGGGAAAATATTAATATTGGTAAAGTGGTGCAATTCTCGCAAGGGCCAAACCTGTCTTTTTTGGGTACTTAGGCGAACCCGCCAAAAACGCAATTCTCTCAAGGGCCAGACCTGTCTTTTCACACATTTGGTCTCCGTTTATGCTGTTTCTTCATCCCGTTGGGACATTTGATACGCCTCCTTACTATTGTTATGACCGAGGTGCATCCTCTTGCATTTCATGATGCTGAATCTTAACAGCCATTCCTTTGTCCACTCCTGAAGCTGACAGAGATCTTTCTGTAGCTCCTCACAGTCTTTGGTTCTTAATTCCCCTGAATAACTTGGCATCGTCTGCGAACATTTGTATGGGGGGGTGTATAGCTTCTGGCATGTCATTAATGAAACAAACAAACAAACAAAAATGTATACCATATTATAGCACATTATATGATGAGGGCTTAATAATAATTATCACTGTTTATTTCCTTTTGGTATAATAAACTTACAAATTATATGGAATGTGAATACCGTATCATTACTGCCAATGTTCACATTGAGACAACTTTATACCACACCCTCACTAATACACTACCACTACACCCTGTGGGGTATGGGATGTTTGGTTCACACTCAGAATGGGATGGAGAAAGGAAACTCACAATGTGCTCTCTGTATACATGTTGTATTGGATGTACAATGCAGCTTGGTGCTGGGAAGGCAGCGTGGTTACAAGCGTGATGTAGAGAGAGCTGGTTGGTGAGGATGCTCAGAGGAGGACAGCTTGTGGGTCGCCATGCTCGCCGGCGGGAGCGAGAGCCGCCAGGCAGTGGCGGAGGAGGTGGTGTTGCTGGCTGGTTGGTGTAGGTAGAATGAGGGTGGTAACCACGAGGTCAGGTCTTAAATAGCGGAGGTAGGCGTGGCTTAGTAGTTGACCTCCGTCATGTAAGGCAGCGCTGGTTGACCTAGACCACGAGGCATACACTGGGGAATTCGCGGGGTCAGCTACCCAGCGACAAACAGCGTTTGTAGGGGAGGAATCCACTACAATCTCACTAATACACTACTATTACACCTTAATACACTACTACTACCCCTTATTAACATATTGCAATTATATTCTAATACACCAC